TCTCAGCTCTTATTGTAGAAGAGAGAACCTGTTGACATAGAATAAAAAGATAGGGAGATAAAGGACACTCTTGTCGGAGTCCTCTTGTTGGTGAGAAATATGGTAGACCATCACCATTGAACTGGATGGAATAAGAAACAGATGTGACACAACATTATCAAAGTAATGAGATTGGGAGGGAGACCAGCCTTTGTAAGTACTGCCTGAAGAAATGGCCACGAAACTCTGTCATAAACTTTTCTCATGTCCAGTTTGATCGCTGCCAAACCTAATTCCCCTTCTCTTTTTCTCATGGCTTCAATCGCCTCATGAGCAATAAGTATATTCTCACTAATATTACGTCCAGGCACAAACCCATTTTGGAGCTCATCAATCAAATCATTCATCACATTCTTCAATCTATTAGTGATCATTTTGGTAATGACTTTGTACTTCACATTACAGAGACTTATTGGTCTGAAATCACCAGACATTACGGGATTGGAGACCTTTGGGATGAGGACAATGTTTGTCTGATTCCATTCCTGGGGGAATTGTTGTTCGTTAATGGCATCCAGAATAGTGGATTCTATCTCTGCACCCACTATATGCTTATACCTTTGATAAAAACCTGCTGGCATCCCATCAGCGCCAGGTGATTTCTAAGGTGACATCTGCTTGATTGCATCCCATACTTCATTAGCTGTAAAAGGGGTCTCTAGAGTGGCTGCTTGTTGAGGGGTTAGACATTCTTCAATATTATCTAAAAGTTTGGTGAAAAATAGAGATGCTTGGGAAGCTATTTCTGATTGTCCATAGATACCAGAAAAATGTTGTTGGACTATGAAGCCACATATTGGTCTGAAATTTCTGGTGTTAGATACCACAACTTCTAGGAATTCTGAGCTTTCATTCTTTGATTTTGTTCATCCGAGTTCATTCATGTGCCATCGAACACTTTTTGATGATATAATTCCTAATATTCTGGATGATAGTGTTGTATACTAAAGACTCATTGATGTGCTTTTTACTAATATTCCATTCCACAAAATTATTGTTACTTTTGGACTTCTTGATTTTGACACACTGATAAGAAGGGCCGCTATATATCTTGACTTTGACATACTGTTTGTCAATCATCAGTGTTTTATATTCTTTACTTATTCCATCGTTTCTAAAATAAGTAAAGTACCCTTCCGATTTTTATTATAAGTAATTTTGATTTGTCTTAGATTTCACCCAGTATATTTTTTTAATTAAAAAAATTTTAAAAATATATTTTTACATTTATTGTGTTCTTCTAATTATTAGGATATATTTTTAAGTTTTTTTCCAATCGACATAACATATTAAGTGAAACATAAGACATCTCAAAATAACTTATAATAAGAACATGAATGGATACTACAATAAACAAAATGTCTCTGTTTGGATAATAATGAACAAAAATCACCGGTTCATGACAATTGCATTTTTTCCCTTTCCAATAGTTATTTTCGTTTTCATGATTTCCTTCAACGCCGTTCTTAATTTAGTTGGCTAATGCATGCTGTTGAATATCTAATCCTATCAATGTCGGAGACAATGAAACTTTGCAGGAGTATTTCTCTACCCATTTTGGGCATGAAATTTTCAACATATATAGAGTACTTTCTAATGTATCTAAATAGGGAATTATTGGCATTGAAAAAAGAAGTGGGGCTATGGAAAGAGGTTTAGACATGTGAGTTGATAAATGCAATTTAATTTTACTTCACGCAACTTGTACAATAGACTAAAATATTCATGAACCTTAAACTCTCCCAAATTTTTTTACACGATCATTTTTTTAGAACTTCTCACAAGTTCTTTCATTATATTGTCAAAAAATCATTGCTTCTTGATGGTTCGCAATGGCGAAAAATCAAATAACACGAAAAGACAAGATAAAATAAGAAATTGACTTCTCAACAGGTAATTTTTTTGCAAAGTTCACTTTTTTATTGTGTGATCACTATTGTCATTTTCTGACGGATTTTTTTTTTACAAAGAAAAATAATTTGCGCAAAATTTTATGGCTTTGGCATGATTACTGATTGGTGATCGTGCTTTTTTTTGCTGATTAGTGATCGTACTTTTTTGTATGTCATTTATGTGTCTTGATTTTGTTTTCTGTAGCTTGATTTTACTTTTTGCAGTTTGATTTTATTTCGTGTATCTTTATTTTACTTCGTGCAACTTAATTTTACTTTCTATAGTTTCATAAGGATATTTTAGTTTATTTAATAAGTTACACGAAATAAATTCAAGTTGCGTTTAGCAATACCCTTTAGATATTCAAGAACGTGCCTTTGACAACTAGATTGAGAACGACACTGAAGAAAATCATGAAAGCGAAAAAATAATTATTGGAAGGGGACACTTGCAATTGGCATGAACTAGTGGACTCGAGTTGTGGTTGCTGAAGTTTGATCCAAAGTATAAAAGTTTGATATGGATGAAGATAAGAGTGGTAAGATCCCAAATGAAATGTTTTTTCGGTCTTAAAATAATAGTTTAAATTGAATTTTAAGATATATATTATTTTTAGCACAAATTTAAAAATTAATATGAACTATTTTTCTGTGGATTGAACCCCCTCAAACATTCTGTCTATATTTTTTAGCCAACCATTCATAATGATAACAACACCAAAGGGCCAGAACCAGATGGTGTTGATTTGGAAGATGATGAAGCAATGGTAGGATCAACAGTACCGCGAAACAGCGTAATCGAGTCTTATTAAATATTACTAGATTTTTCCGGCCCGCGATTACTTGCGGGTTAGATTTTACACTTTAATAATTTTAATATAATTTTGGTTTCATTTTATTTTAAATTGAGTTATTCAAATAAATTCTTTAAATTCAAATCTCTTGAAGTAATTGTCAATTTTTACTATCTCATTCAATCACCTTTTTATTTTGGTTATATCTATTCATTTTTCAAAGTAGAGGTAAGGTGGACATTCCATAAGAAAAATGTAATTCAATTTTTGTAACGCTTTTATATTATTTTATAATAAAAATAGATGTAAGTTACTATTTTAAGTTGAAAAATTAAAAATGTGTGATAATTGATGGTTAGACCTTTATGGAATTGACCAATTTTTTATTAAAATTTTTTTTTATAATGTACAAAAGTAGACTATTTTTCTGTTATATAGAGATTATTATTTAATTGTAATATAAGGTTAAGACATTTTTGCATTAGTGTGGAAGATCATGGATACATTCATATTATTTAAACTTTAAAGTGTCAAAATTTAAGAAGAAAAGTAAGAAGAATTTTATGGTAAGACATTAAGAAAAAACACAAATTGATTGATTATGTCATTCACTGCTTAAATTAATACACAATATCTGTACTTCCAAAAAAAACTCAATTTGTGTGCTTAATATCGAAAGTTTTTTAACATTATAATTTTTTATATTATTATTTACCGTAATATCTTCAATGGCCATATGTAGCAATTAGAATTGATAATGATAAAGAATACATATTTTGGTATAACACTTAAATTAAATATAAAAACAATCAAGTGAACTCCAGTTTGCATTTTGAAGGTAATATTTTGGCCATCATCATCCATCTCTCCCAATCCGTCTAAGTTCCAACCTTTGTGATGCCACATGTAATATTAGTTTTTTTTTTTTTATATAATTTAGAAGTTGAATAAAAAAAGAAAAAGACAAAAAAAAAAGTCTTGAGGGGGACAACGACCATAATAAGAATTCTCCCTCTTGCATTAATGACAAATGTCCAAATAATATGGTCCATTTGATTAAAAAATTCAGACAATCTTTCTGAAAGTATATAAATGCCCTTAGAGTGTACTAACGATGCAAAATACTGTAGTTGTCCCCCTCTTCCTTTTATAATAGTAGTAGACTATACTCCATATGAAATTATACCTAATAAGAATAAAATAACATGTACCTTTTTTTATATATCAATTTTCATCAAAAGTTAATTATTTATAAATAAAATTGATAAATGTTAAGCACCTAGCCAAACTTTTTTCTTTTTCCCTTGAGACCCCATAATCTAGGCCCAAAAAATTAAGTAAAACCCAAAATATAAAGTGAATGAAAAGGAGCTGGGATTAAAACTTAAAAGGGCCACGTATTTTTGTCTGGACTTGAAAAAGTTGTAATATTTAGGCATGTTTTTCAATTAAATTACAAAAATTGCCACTGCTTTATTGATGTTGTTCCAACGACGAAAGGCACTGTTGTTTTTGGGACTCTTGATTTTATGTAGTAGTAAATTAAATTACAAAATTGTCACTACTTTATTGATGTTGTTCCAATGACGAAGGGCACTGTTGTTTTTGGGACTCTTGCTTTTATATAGTAGTGGATAGATTAGAAAGACCGGAAGTCCGGAAGTGGTCGATTTTTTAGAGCCCAGGACAAAGAGTGATAATTAGGGGGGTTGACTATATTTATTCGTAAGAATTTGTTAATTAGGGGGGTTGACTATTAAAATATTTGTTAATAGAGATTCGTTCCTCGAAAGAAATCTATTTTATTCAAAATTGAATTAGTCGAAATAATAATTATAAATGTATATATAGTCAGGAAGTTCCTACAAATATTTTAGTCCCCCTTGAGTTCCACAGTGCACTTTGTTGTATTAAATTAATATTCTTTCTGTTTCAAACACCTAATTCATATTGAGTTTTCGAATTTGTACTAAAGTATTACAAATTAAAAAATTCGGTGTGGACTTTTCCTTTGGAGAAAGTATAACAAATTAAATTGCATTTTGTAATGTACCAAAAACTACATCATGTTTGAATTGTAGTATCATTTATTTTGCTCCAATAATGTAAGAAATTTGACTTTAGAAACGTACACAGGTGGGCAATGCTTGTAGTATACTAGCTACTCCCCTCACTATATAACTAGTTAACTATGTAGCTAAGAGTCGAAGAGCTACATTTCTCTATCTCTTTCTCTCAGCTCGCTCACTATTACTGAAACCTTCACTTCATCATCATGGAGGTTTTACAGTACTCGAAGAAAGCTTTGATTTCTTTAGGAATGGTGGGCTTAATTGCACTGTTTTGACGTCTGTACAATGCTCTAGTGGTTAAGCCTGGAAAACTTAGATCATTTCTGAGCAAGCGAGGCATAAGAGGACCTCAGCCGACCCTTTTGCTCGGAAACATTTTGGAAATCAAGAAAGCCTGTTCCATCACGGCGAATGCTCCTCCGTTGCGTGGTACTGTTCCGAACAAACACGACTGCGCGACAGCCATCTTCCCCTTCTTCCAAGACTGGCTGAAGAAATATGGTGATGTGTTCATGTTTTCTATGGGAAATACACAAGTTTTAGTTGTTACTAGACAAGAGATTGCGAAAGAGATTACGACTTGCACGTCACTGAATTTTGGGAAACCTTCCTATCAAGCCAAAGAGCATAGTACTCTTCTTGCGGATAGCATTGCGACGACCAATGGGACTCAATGGGCTCATCAGCGCAAAGTCATCGCACCCGAATTGTTCATGGACAAGGTTAAGGTTAGTACATAGGTATACGCAATTTTCTCGGTTCCAAAATATTTGTCATGTTTTACTAACTATGACAATTTTGGTTTAATAGTTTTGACTTTTTTTTTTTTTTCCCTCAGGGAATGAGGAAGCTAATTCAGGAGTCCGCAATGACAATTGTGAACTCGTGGAACAAAATGATTGAGAAGAAAGGTGGGATTGCATATATAAAAGTTGACCCTTACATGAGGCGTTTCTCAGGGGATGTAATATCGAAGGCGTGTTTTGGAACCAGTTACTCCTTCCGTCCTATAATAATTGTCCAGTTTGAATTTTCATTTCTAGTTCAATTGTACTAAAAGTAAAATCTCAAACTGGACAATAATTTTGGGACAGAGGGAGTATATCTTCTCCAAACTCAATTCACTTGTGGAAGTCACTTCTAAAAAGAATTTGGCCATGGGTATTCCCGGGATGAGGTGTGTTGAATTACTGATTTTTTTTTAATTCTTTTTATTTTAGTTTTTTTTCCTTGGTCAAATTAATCAATTAATCAAATTATTTTTTTATCAATCAATTTAATAATCAAATTAATATTAATCTATGCAACATGTGAATTAATTATACTTCAGGCATCTTCCAACAAAAAGCAATAGGAAAGCTTGGGCGCTAGCCAGGGAGATCAAAGAACTAATTCTGAATGTGGTTAAGGAAAGAACCGAAGCTGGATACGAGAAAGATCTACTCCAAGCCGTGTTGGAAACTGCCAAAAAGGAGGAATTCATTAGCAGCCACGGCGCACGTGATCGATTCATCGTCGACAACTGCAAAACCATTTACTTTGTCGGGTACGAAAGTACTGCTATTTCAGCCACTTGGTGTCTCATGCTCTTGGCCGCCTACCCGGAGTGGCAGGAACGGGTCCGATCCGAGGTTGTCGAGGCTTGTCGTGGCCAAGTTCTTGACGCCGAATCCATTCGCAGAATGAAATCGGTAACACCACCTAATGTACTGTATATTATTATTTACTTCCCGTCTCAAAGTTATTGTCCAACTTGAATTTTCGCTTTAATTCAATTGTAATAAAACTGAAAAATCTAAATTAGATGATAATTTTAGGACGGAGGGAGTATCATTTTAGATTTTCACTAAACTTTGAGATAAAGTAATATATGACTATTTAGAAGATAAAATGCATCTGATTATAACGAAATTTTTTCACGTTTTTTTGTATGATCTGTAGTTGACCATGGTGATTAACGAGTCATTGCGATTATATCCGCTAGTGACAGTTATGTCAAGGGAAGTTTTTGAAGACATGAAATTTGGCGACATTGCGATACCAAAAGGGGTCACTATGTGGGCATTTGTGTTGGCTTTACACACTGATCCTGATATTTGGGGAAATGATTCTTATGAATTCAACCCGCAAAGGTTTGCTGATGGTGCTGCCAAGGCTTGCAAGTATCCATAGGCTTTGGAATGGGACCAAGGGTTTGTTGGTCAGCATTTGGCAACAATGGAGCTCAAGATTTTGATCGCTCTCACTGTATCACGATTTAGTTTTATTCTTTCCCCTACTTATATCCATTCTCCTGTCTTGCGTTACATTATTGTGCCCCAATACGGGGTGAATTTGTGTTTTAAGAAACTTTGAATTGTAAAAAGATCATTTTGAAACAAATAAATAAACGAGAAACACAATCTAATTATGTTTACGTTATTAAAGATTGAGTCATTGCGGGCTTATAAATTTTTTCCCTTCTGTTTTTTTTTTTAAAATTAATTTATTAGGTTATTAAAGGTCGAATGATTTTGTTGCGAGCAGAGTAACAAGATATCAACTATTAATAGATCCACCACTTAGTATTAAATCGTGGTTAGAGCACGATATTATCGTTGTCTGATATAAACGTAATGTAACCGTTTAAGTTATGCTTTGCCTTCTTCTATTGTACCAAAAAAAAAAAAAGTAACAGTGTTTGAGTTTTACTTGTTACAGTTGGGGCTTTTTTTTTTTTTTTCTTTTGGGCTTCAATCTGCCGTTAGAGGGGATAATCAAAATCGCAGTTTAAGACATTGAACACTTAATGTTATTAGTTTTCAATCAGTAGCTACTGACTACTTTAGACCAAAAGTAATTATTGGCCAACAAACGCAATTTTCCAACTCCGATTGCCCCAATAAGATTAGTTTGATTATTTGAGTCAGTAATCTTCATTTTACTGTACTTCTTCCTCAAGAGTGGTAAGACGTGACAATTTGAAATACGTATGTGGCCATGCAACACGCAATCAAATTTAGACATGTTCAGCCACGATGATGGCAAAGGAGACAAGGGTTCAGTTTGTTTCAAGCCAAGGGTAAGCATCTGGGACGATGTAAGTGCGGGTGCAAGCTTTGGCGATCAAATATCGGAAGTCCCATCATCATCACCCCACTCCTGGATCCTGTTTCCATCTTGGGTATGATCCGATGAGCAAGATGTACAAATTACTGAGATTGAACTATGATCTCCTTCCCATTACTCAAGGATCTAAACCAGAAGGAGCCGATATAATGACGCTCAGGCCCTCCGATCATAATAATACATCATCATCATGGAGGAAGCTAGACTTGATAGAATGTGGCCTTGATGGTATATTCTTGATGCCGGGGAGAATTCGCCGTTCCATGAAACTGCAGTCTTAGGCAATGATGGTTTCCATCCTATGGTGGCTAATGGCAAACCCGAAAATTCCTACTATTCTCTTTCGATCTAAGCTATGACATATTTCAAATGATTGAGTTTCAGGATGACATCAGAGGTGATGTGAAGAGGAGATTTAATCTTTGTCTCTGTGGCTTTAACCTATCATTCATTGGGTTGATTACGGAGTTACCAGTTTCATGTGCTCCTTTACTCTTCATTACACGAGTCACCCAATGTTATTAGTTTACGATCAATAGCTAGTGACTACATCAGTACCAGGTAGATGTAGAAGAGCTTCAGATTGACCGACTCTTCTTCATTGACGGGGAAGATAATAACCCACAGGTAGAATTTAACCTCTCCCTTCCAACTCCATGTATGGGTTTCTTGGGCCCAACTCTACATATCTTGTGATCATTAATGCAAGTCTAAGTGGTGGTGAAACTGAAAAATTAGTGAGTCTATGTACTTAGATTGTGTAGAAAGATAATTGAAATGTATGTCATTTTCCAAAAAAAAAAAAAAAAAAGAAAGAAAAGGTCTCAGAGAAAAAATAAAAAAATTAAACAGTAAAATCAAAACCAATGTTCTAATACAACCCACAGCCACTATGTCAACCAAAGTAATCAACTAGTGCCAAATTGTCGCCTCATCAATCATCATGGCAAAAATGACAACAATTAACAATAAATTTATTTATTTTTTTTAAAAAATCAAATATGTCACTGCAGGCCTTCCACACGTCCTGTCTGCGCATCACACAATCCGGGCCAAACAAGTAAAAATCAAGATTTAGAGAGTAACGAGTTCCAATCAAAGATGCTACAATTCGGCGAATAAATGAAAAAAAAAAAAAAGAAGTGATATTTAAGATCATATAATCAAGAGATTAGTAACGAGTTCTAATCAAAAGGCCAGTAGGGCCAGTGTCGGTTTCTATCAACGGTACACGAAACTGGGATTAATCCATTCGAAATAAAAGCAGCATTGGTGAAACCGGAAGTCTCAAATTGGGGCAAATTGCATTAAAGTTAACAGAACAATTTCTACCCGATAACCTCAGAGGATAAGTGGCAGTGGACCGAATCCTCAAATCGAAATCCACGACTCCATCCTTGATATCATTCCCAATCACGGTAGCCATGGGAGTCCTCAGCCACGCCGCCGCCGCCACCACCATTATACCACTTATATTCGCCGTCCGCTCATTCGGGCCTAGCTTAAAGTCGTCAACCTTAGCTATCGCAAGAGACTCCGAGTTGACGACGCGGAGATCATAATATTGGTGTACCAGACCGACACCTTGAAACCATGGAAATATCCAACATTATGTTTAGCCTCACTAGTCACGGTGATTCCAACGGTCCAATTCGCTGCGGTGGTCTGAGCCTGATGATTATTAGTATTATCATCGAAAACCACCTGTGGTGAGAACGACATGGAATCTTGGCTTCTAAGGAACTATTAACATAGAGTTGCGCCAAAATGAAATTCATGTAGACATAAAACACAAGAGAGATCCCGACTACCGCTTTACCGTTGCAGCAAGCCTTAAGTTTTTCCCTTGTCGTCCAATTACGATCCATGGGTAGTTGATCACCGACCTAAAAAGAAACACATCGGCCGTGCCAGTTCCCTTCGCCGGCTTTCACATCTGGTGGGAGGGAGTCCATGGAAAGAGCCCGCGACAATTGTTACTACGGGATGACGGTGATGGGTTAATTATGAACGAAAGAAACAAGCTGAATATAAACAACCCTAGTCCCCCTTTCTTTATTTAATAGTATAATAATGGAAATAAAATTGATGCGTCCCTCTCTCTATACAATACAAATAAATATGGTAAACAAACAAAGATGTCTTGTTATCGTATTGGGATTTTATTTAGTACTTTTTTTACTCTTATATTATACTTTTAGTTCCGTTTGTACTAAAATTGAATAAAAATCCAAACTAAACTGGAGTACGTACTACTACATTATTAGCTGCATTATTTGTTTTGTCAGAATAAATCCGGTCAAAACTGAGGATCCTCCCCCAATTTATTTGTTATAAGTACTAATATAAAGCGAAAGATTTCGTTGGTAGATCTGTCATCAATCTTTAGTTGCAGGAGCAATTTAGTCTATTTTCCACAAATAATCAACTAGTCGCAATTGACACTAGGTGCTCCACGTCATTCTGAATTCTTCTTTTCAGTTATTATAAATTATGTTTCTTTATTTTTTTTTTTGGTGTGTATCTACCGAATTTCTATAGATTTTTTGGATTAATAATTATTTTAAGATTGCACAAAAAAATATTGCAATTGGTATTTATTTCTTTTAATTGCATCAATCATGACGGTAGTATTGTTATACATTAGAAAAGTCTCTTTGATTTAGAGCAAACAATTGTGATTCATCCGTTGCATCATAGAATTAATGCTTTGGCAAGAGCACTCCAAATTTCACGTTGGGTCCGAAGCCACATGTATCGTTTCATAATCTCCGGTGACGTTGAAGGTAGTAGCCAACCTTTCACCTTTTGATAACATCTCCTATTACCACTTAGTTCCGTGAATCGCTATGTGCTCCTTCAAATGTTTGGATTCAATGAAGATGGAGGTCTTTGTAACTGTTGCCTGACTCTTTGGTACTGATCATGTCACATAGTCTGCCATGCTTATTGTTGCACTTGGGGATATGTATTTAATGTAACAAGTGGAACTGAGTTTAGAATCATCTTGTGGTGAAAATGGAAGGATGTAACTGAGTTTAGAGTCTGCCATGCTTATTTTTCCACTTAGGGGAATGTATAGTTCCTTTTTTTCCGTGAAGCTAGCTCCCCTTATTCTCTCTCTCTCTCTCTCTCTCTCTCTCTCTCTCTCTCTCTCTCTCTCTCTCTCTCTCTCTCTCTCTCTCTCATTTCTGTGATGCCCAACTCATAGTCCCTTTTCCTGTGATGCCCCTCTTATTGTCCCTCATGATAACTATGCATTTACTGTATCAGCTCACCGGAGTAGTCACCTCGTATTGAAGTAGTAGTTATCTAGGGTTGTTATTTATCATTATCTCATGTATAGATATTATTTACTATAATTATCTCTATTTCCCTAGATGTATTATATATAGAACACTACTCTATGTACTGTATAACAAAAAGGAGATTTCATCGCCTTCAATCTCTTTAACTTGGTATCGAGCTTTTTCCGATCCTCTTTCTTCTTCCGCCATGTCTGCTTCTGCCCTCTCTTCTGGTTCTTCGTCGGTCATGTTTTCTTCGCCTATGTCCTCTGCTCAATTAACCAGCGCCCCTCTCTTTTCTTTTTCGCCCAACCTCTCTTCCTTTAATCAATCTTTTTCCATTAAGCTTCAATCCCGTGAAAACTATTCTTCTTGGAAACTTCAGTTTACTCCTCTCCTCAACATGTTGAATCTATCTTCCATTGTTGATGGTTCTGAACCATCCCCTCCTCCCACCATTACTTCTGCTGATTCTTCCGAACCGGTGGTCAATCCAGCCTATACTCAGAAGGACCAACTCCTCTTTTCATGGATCCTCTCCTCAATCTCGGAAAATATTTATCCTTCTTTTCAGGGTGAAAACCTCTGCTGGCGCTTGGCAAGCCCTTGCTAATAGTTATGGTGTCCTTTCTTATGACCAGCAAACACAACTCATCTTGGAACTTTACAATCTGACAAAAGATGACATGTCCGTTACCGTATTTCTTCATAAAGCAAAAGCCCTTGGCTGACTCTCTCTCCATGGCTGGCCACCATATCTCTTCGGCTGAGTTTAAT